CAAACCTCAGAGCAGGAAAATGAGCCCCTAAAATCTATCAAATCACTTAGTAAAATGCATCACTATTGGCTCAGACAGAATGTTTCTTAATTTAAGGCTGACATTTATATGTTACTCTAAAATAGCTAAACATGAATACTGAAGAGACAAAAGAAGCTAGAAAGATCAGAATTAGTAGTTAAACTTTTACATCACTTAATTTTAAAAGCTAGGTTAATGGCATGAGATTCTAAAATCTGTAAGAACAGGGGATTTATGGGTTTGCAAAAGACCTTTAGAAAGATATGTACATGTATAAATGAATCATTAAAATATTTTATAGAGAGGTTTTGAAGAAGAATGCTTTGGTATCACTGACACTTGCTTAAAACTGTAATATTTCACATAAGAGCCAAATGTGGAGCTGAGAAAGATTATTTTACACATTTAAGTGTGTACTGACTTTGATAGCATTCAGATATCAATGCTTGTGTAACATAGTGCCCTTGTAGGCAGAAAACATGTGTCAAGTAGAGCTGGTAAAAACAAAAGTTACTCTGTGTGTTTTTGGATGAAATTGGCCTTTGACAGAATAGAAATTTCTGTGAAGCATTTTTCATGCTTCTGCTGATGCAAAAAATAAAAGGCAGACGAGATATTTGAAATATATTTTAATAATTTTTTTCTGGAAGATAGATTAGCTTTTTGTTTTGCTACTTCTCTGGGAATAAATAAATTTCGTGAGACGTTATTGACAAATTAGAATTTATGTCAATCATGGCAAACGTTTGAGGGTGAAATTTCTCTCTCCGGAAGACAGACTTGTAGCTCATGTGTTAGTGACAAGGATTTGAGTGGGGAAAAATGTTTTCCACAAGCAGTGGCGGAGGATATACATCCACCCTCTCAAACACATGGTCTTCTGCAGAAAAAATGGCCCTTCAGGAGTTACCCTATCTTTGGTAAATTTAATGTACTTTTAGTTAAATTTAAATCTAAGCAGAGGCCTCCTTATAAGTCTTGGCATTTTGAGTCAAAATAACCACCCTTCCAGGTGCTGTGTGAGCAGGTAGTGCTGCGCAAACATTCTGATCAGACTGGACCACCTGGTGCTGAGGACCAGACCTTCTCTACATTCCATGGATCTGGCTGGGTTTTACTTTGGTCGGGCTGATCTCATCCCACAGACTAAAAGCTGATCTGTGTTTGGGGTGCATTGCATGTACCCCAAGAGCATCCCTCAGTTTATGTTCAATCAAGTTCAGGCACCCTCAGACCGGTCCAATGTGTGCCACAAAACCAGAGGCTGTGTCACAGTGAGAACCACATGTGTGTGAGAAGGGACTCTCAGGTTCACTTCAGAAGTGCACTTCTGATCTGAATTAAAAGCTTTATGTGGCTTCTATCCCTCTCCCACCACTAGCACCTAAAGAATAAGGTGTCTGAAATACTGCAGCTGTTAAACAGCATGTCTACAGCAAAGGTTTCTTCCTAATCTCCATCACTTATCATTGATAAAGATACTGAGACCTCTGAGACATCTTGGAACAGAATATGGAACTGCTGTATTTGTGATGTCTTGTTTTTGTAATTTGTGGGTATAACAGGGTGCAGCTCCATCCAGAGCAATCCATGATTCCTTTCTTTGTACATTTTTAAAAGTTTTACTCAGCCATTGGCTCCTTTTTCAGAAGAATGCTTTCACATTGTAATCAGATTTGTGTTGCCTAAAAATGAAGTAATTACACCACACCCAACACAAAAACAGAAAAGCAGGAGCTCTCAGTATCGATTTCTTGCTTTAATTCATTTGCAAAGGTGTCTTTTGAACCCCTCCTTTATGGAAACCAAGACGTCAATAACAAGAAATACAAATTCTCCAATAACAAGAGTGGTTAATACCAGGCTTTCACTGATGAAATTACTATAAATGGAGTCATATTACAACGAGTGGGTTTAAGAAATGCAGGGCAAGTCTCAGCAGCCCTGGAGAGGTTTCTGAGACTGGGCTGAAGATTTAAGAGGAGGCACCTGCTTGTCTGTCCGTGGCAGCTTCCCATGTAGTAAACTGAGCACAGCTGTCACAGCTCCTTGCTCAAGGGCAGAGGGGGAAACATCCCCTTCCACACCACACTGTGTTATTCTCCACACCACCCTGGATTTTTGGTTTACTGAAAAAAGGTGAACAGAATCAGTGAGCACAATTTAAAATGTTTCAGCAGCACACTGCTCTTCCTTGTGCAGGTGACACTGTCCAGCCAAGTATTCAGCTGGCTGTCACCTACCACAGGAATGTCCAGCTCACTCTGGGTGAGAACACTGTTCCAAAATAGAAATGCTCTGATAAAGATGCTTTTGATAAAGATAACCACCTTTTGACCCATACTAGCATTCAGACAATCTCAAAGCAATTTTATATTGCATACGTTTTCTGGAAGCACATCAAGAGGTATTTAAGGAATTTAAAGTGCTTGAGGCATGAAGTAAAGGCAAAGGGAATTGTCTTGCTCTAGGCATCATGACAAAAATAGTTGCTGGAGGCCTGAAACTGTCTCTGGTCAGGGCAAGTGGGATTACTGCAGATACCTGAGGCTCCTGCAGTGCAGCCCTTCATACAGCACCACTGCACACTTTGCTAACTCTGTAATGCAGTTGTTCATTTAATACTCACTTGTACTATGTGTTTCTCACTGTTCAAGACTGTACTCCTTAAGCTAAAATGCCACCTCAGAGTTTTCTGTTTACAAAAACAAGCAAAAAATGCACTGATTTTCTCCTTTTTCTTTAACATTGTTCAGTGGTTCCTTGTTGGGCTGGAACTGCCTTACCCAAGCTTCTACTTGATATCATTTTGGTGTGAATATTTTAATCTGCTGCTTGGATGCATGTCCTGTTGAGTAGTATTAAAAAGTTTGGAAATCAACTACTAAAAAAATATTTCATTACTATTTTTTTATATTTACATTGTGTCTAATTACAATATTAGTAAGATGTATTAACACCATCTTTGCTGCTTCTTTAAAAACTTATTAAAAGGAGATGATTTAACATGTAATTTATTTTACTGTACAGCTGGCAAAGATTTAGACAAGACTAGCTTAACTTCCACCATTTTCACAAAATCAAAATGCTAACTGTAATAGATTAGCTAAATATGAATGTTAAGATCTGAAAGTGACCTTGTTTCTTCTCCAGCAAACCTGAGCAGCCTTAATTATAGTGCTCACTACAAGCAATTTATGCCTGTATTAACAGACTAAATAAAATATGTAATTACCTGTAAAGCACAGAAAAATGAATCTGCTAGGAATGGACTACAAATCTGGATTATTCCAACATTCAGAGTATAACCTAATAATTGCTAACCATCACTTATCTTGCTACACCTCTTTTATGAGAAGTCAGAAGACCATAACTCTTTTCATGCAGACCACATTAGTGTGGTTGATTCCAAGTCTAGAAACCCTTTCTGCTACAGAGGAAAAGAAGTTTCAAAATAAAACAGAACAATGAAAACAAAACAAGAATCCTTAAAATATACTGTATTAAGGGTGTTTAAGTGATGCAGTAAACTCCCTTCACTCTGCCATTAAGCCCAGACAGGAGATTTCACATGCTGCCTGAGTTATCCCCATGCTAATTTGGGCTACTGACTCTTTCTGTTGGATTTACCATTGGGTGGTTTGCATTGGAAGGGACATTAAGGATCATCTAGTTCTGACCAGAAACGTTTTACTTTTCTCTCCATGCAGAAAGGGAAAGTTTTCAGAATGTCACATCATTTCTTGCTTGTCCACATTTTTGTCATTGTGCAGCTGTGTTTCAGGTGTAGAATTTTATTGCAAAGTGCTCCAACTCAGCAAGCCTTCTGGTACAATGGGGAGAACTTTGATATTGGTAGCTTCGTTGGGTATTACACAAACTCACCCTACACTCAGGGTATTTTTAAATAGACCAAAAAAAAAAAAAAAGAAAAAGAAAGCCAGGAGGATTGAAAATGTTGCTGTGAGGATTGTACTGCAGAAAGATTTATTTGTCCATATGCCTGTGCAAGGTAGGTATATTTTAAACAGATACCAATAATGATCTTTGGATTTCTGGGTAATAAACATCCTGCAATGAACATTTTGCCCCAACATCTGCAGAGCACAAATGTCAGCAGATAAGAAAATTCATGATCAGTTTATGCATGCAGGTGCAACTCCGTTGACTTGAATAAAACAAAGTGTATTAACACCAACAAAAAAAAAAAAAAAAAAAAAAAAAAAAAAAAAAGAAGAGAAGAATGCCAAATCCTTTTGAAAGGTATTTTAAAGAATAGTTTATTATTTAAATATTTAATATAAATCTTTCTCCTTCCAGTCGTAAACAGAGAGTGCCTTGAAGTAAAATATCAGCCTCTCAACACAGCTATAATTTATAGACAGCATTTATTCCTTGGTGAAGTATTTTACCTCTCTTTAGTTACATAAATAACCTCTCCAAGACCTGTTAATTTATTCATTGCCTGTTAATCCTTATTTGTCACCCTTATTTTAAAAATATACATTTATCTTCTGCTAATGAGAAACAGGAATAAAAGTCATTCTCAGTTGGTTCAAGGAAGCATCAGAATGTGCAGAGTGGTTAGGTTAGTGTGCAAAGTGCAAAGCTCAAAATAAACCGCTCAAAGCAGTCACAGCTGTGGAATCAGAGAACAGCAAGTTTGGGAGGAAAAAAAGAGGAAAAAGGCAAGAAAACAGAGAGCCTAAATATATATATAAAGTATTAATATAAAATATAAATAATAGAATATAAAATGGAATACAATATAAAGTAGAATATATGGTATATATAGAGAGAATGTAAAACAGCTGAACTACATTGTGCTCTATACTGCATTGGTCCTTACAGAAATATTTCACTGTATAGATGATGAAGAGAGGGTTTCCAGAAGGTGATTTCATGTCTTTATCAGTCTGAATAGTCTTGAGATGCCCATCTCTCACTGTGGGCTGTGTCAGGTCAGGTGGCCTGGCACGATGTGGAACAGACCTGTGCCTGTACCACACGGGATGCAAGCACCTGCTAGAAGACCTAGGCTGCTCACAACGTCTCTGGTATCTGTTGCTGTGATTACCCCGAGGTAGTAGAAAGTCTTTTTTCTCCCAGCCCCGCAAGCAAAGAAGTCGAGATTTGTCAGTTCTGCTTTTCAAGGTGGTTTATTTTTCCTTATCCATTAAATTCTTTCCCTGACCAGCTGAGATCTGTCCAGCAGGTCGGGTTGCGGCACACTGTCCACCCTTGGGGTGGTGTTAACATTTTATACTAAGAACTATGTGTACTTTATTTACAGTACCTATCACCTGTGTTAGTCTGTCTCTACTCTAAACCAATCAAGTGTCACCATCACAGCAGAAGATGGAGGACAAGAAGAAGGAGGACAGGACATGCCCAGATTCCTCCATCTTGCCTCTTGAACCCCCATTCTAAAACCCCCAGAATTCTACTTTTTCACCCTGTGACAAATTAGCTATCATTCTACTCAAACTCCTGTGGCTTGTAAATCTTCACACAAAGTTGGTAATTTTTATCATGGGTTAAAATCGAAGGCATAGGTGTTTTTGACTCCATGCCAAGGTCTCTGAACCCCTTGCAAGGGTCTCGAATCATCCAGGGCATTCAGAGGAATGTCCTGGGTTCTGAGAATGATGCGCTTTGCCAAGACACACGTGGTCGTCATTTTTACAAAGTGCTCCCTCTCAGCAGATCACAGTTTGGTTTCATGCCTGGTCTATTGATGAACTCATGTTGGTTGAAAGGGCAATGTTTTCTTGCATTCCCACAAACACCGTCTCCCATGTGTCTTCAGACTGCCATAACACAAAAATCATTCTGTCTATTCACAGCACCCTGGTAGAAGGTGTGGGAGGGTTGCAGCACTGCTCAGGGAAGACCTGTGGAATTGGCCTCCTTTTCAACTGGTTTGAAATTGTGACAAGCTCAATAGGTGCAGTTAAACTGAACATTATTTCCTTAACCAAAAGCAGAATTTCCACTTTTTTTGCTTAGAGAATTCTTACTGTGGCATGCTGTGAGGTATTAGCAAACTAAGAGGCACAGAAGTTTCTGTATAATTCCAAGTTGTCCCACAAAAATAACTATTTCCACAATAAAGAAGTAAATCACAAGCTTGCACTTTCAGATTTACTCAACATGTCTCTCCAGAATCCCTGAAGTCAGAAGTGATTCTGTAGAGAACTGACACAGCTTTAATCTAGTGGAAAAAAATTATTTCTCAAGCAGCTTATAAAAATGGGAAAATATAATTGCCTTAATGGCTGGTGCAGCTGTGTTACAGGAGCTGTCTTCAGAGAATAAATAATTTCATTGCCACTAAAATATTTATATCCCTCTCCAAGCCTTCAGTTTGGTTTTGTTTTTCAAATAGTATTCTGCATTTGGTGTGCTTTTGTTTTCTTCAGCGCTATAGGTATCATTTTTCAGTGATAGGATAGCAGGTCAGTTTTGTGTAAGATACTCTAATACAGTGTAAGTATCTTTTGTGTAAGATACTTAGGACTGGTTTGAAGAACAAGAGGTAAAGAATTTGTTTTAGAAAATCCAGGTCAAAGGAGTGTCAGGTTGCATACATGCATTGTGCATATATGCATATATCACGACTAAGTTCAAAGATTCAGATCCATCAAATTATGCACAGCTATCTTGTTTGTACATGTGGATGTGTTATACTCTTCCTTCCCATCCATGCCTTGCTGTTAAGTGAGACTGCGAACTTGCCATTGAGTATAAACATGTTTAAATGTAGCATCCTGACATTTTTTTATCAAGATGTGTAGCTGAGTGACTGCAAGAACTGTGATTGGGGATTAAGGTTGTCCTTAATTGGCTCCTGAGAAACCTTGTGCCAGGTTGGAACCTAAATCTATGGCTATGGCCATAAATATCCATATGGCTATGGCTAGAAGGATGAAATGTAATATCCTGATGAGCTAGACAAATGCAAAGGCATTGGGAGTCTTGCACAGCCTTTATAAAGAGAGCCCCATGTCTCAAAGTGAGTTTGATTGGCTTTTACACCCCAGCTCCTAAACACAGCTGACCATGGGTGTATCTGAGAGGACCCTGATAATATATAAAGCCACTTCACTTTTAAAATAATGGGGAAATAAAACCCCAACAACAACCCCTTCACTTTGTCACTTCCCTGAAAAATAACTGAACAAAATTCAATGTGTTCAAGGTGCAGATTATCAAAGCAAAATCACTTCTACATACCCATTGTGCTTATGTTCCCAGCCTTTAAAATCAGTAATGAAGAAGATCATTATGGTGATCACATCAAAGTCTTTTTGGCTGTTTTTTTTTCAGTTTCCTGATATATACAAATGCCTCCCCATATTCAGATCCTGCAGGCTATTAGTGTACTTTTAATTTTACTGACGTGTAAGGTGGCTTGTATATTCACATGCAGGTCCTAGATGTGGCTCCACATATATTTTCTGTCTTTATTCTTATCTATCTTATCTATGCTTTTGACAAAATATTGATAGAAGTGCTGCAAGCAATCATCTGAAGAGCTGCTGGTCTGTGAGCAGTGCCAGGGAGGGCTGGGAGCACACACCCAAACTGGCAGCATGGGCTCTCCAGAGGGGCTGGTTCCTCCCTTTGGGCAGATTATCAAGGAACTTGTATGGTATAAGAAACAAATGGATGTAACCTTTGTTTTCCAAGCAGAAAGGCTCAAAAAAAAAAAGAAAAAAAAAAGTTGCAGAGCCTGAAAACAGCTTAAATGTATCTATAAGCAAAAAGATTATAAATAGCATCCATAAAGCTGCTTGGAGCAGCTGGTTAAGTGTTTTCTTTTTTGTGTGCTAAAATTGCCCCACCACGGAAGGTTTCTAAACCTTGTCTATAAATTCATCACCATGGAAAAGTGCTCCTTAGGAGGGAACAGTCTGTGAGTCATCATCAGCTTTCTTGCTGTAGTACTACATCTAGTCCCAAAGGGTTGTTTTGAACTCTGATATTTAAAAAAAAAAAAAAAAAAAAAAAAAACCACAATTGACCTTTATCTGAAAATCATAAAGAAGTGAACATTAAAATTCTGTTATACTTAGTAAAATAAAACTCCTTATTGCAGGCACATGCACACTTAATGTGTTTATACCTAACAGGAAATTGGATTGATATCTGTAAGGAAAGATGGGTCAGTAAATACATTGCAATTTGAAGTATATGTGGTGTAGAATTGTAACAGCACTTTTCAGTGCATAATTCTTTAAAGTGAAATAAAAATTTTTCATGGAAATTACTTTTCTCTCCTTCTGCTTCACACATTTGGTTCCCATGTTCACTGAAAATGTAATTAAACAGTTTTATTTTCAGATTTATTCCAAAAGATTTTTTGAAAGTTGACTTAAAGAAAACCCATTGCATAACAAAGCATCCTAAAACACTTCAAATTTTTTCAAAACAAGCTACTGTACAACACCTGACCGTGCTAAAAGAAAGTACATTTGTTAATATGTGCTACCCAACAGTGCAGGCTGCTTCCAGGGCACACCCAGACACTGCTCAGCAGTGTGCACCTTGCATCCTTTCTCAGGCAAAGGTGGTTGAACACAGGGCAGTAGAGTCACACAGGATTCAGCTGGAAGCCAAGATACATCCAGGTTGTGCCTCAAACTGAGAAATACTCCCAGGTGCAGCTGTACCTTTGCAGACCTACTGCTCAGTTTGTCTCACTGGTCTCCTTATTCAAGGCAGATGGTAGAAAACAAAAATGACACAAGGTACCAGGGGTCATGGAAACCAACCATTAATTCAAAGACTCTAGCATACATCTCTGCTTTATTTATATTTAATCTGTTCCTTTCCTGCAGTATCATTTCTCCTGGGAAGATCTCCTATTTGAAAAGAAATTTGCAAATACCATTTGACCTCAGTCTAGGTGTGCAAGGTGTCCCTTGGCTGAGGGACTCTCCTCATTGCTGTCCTCAGAGACCCTCTACCTGGACACAAGATATTGAATCTCAAGTCAGCACTGTCACCTTGCTCATGTTCCTGGGAGGGGAAATAAGAGAGCTCCCTGTGAGACTCAGAGTTGTGGCAGTATTTAGCAGGTAGTACCATGTGTAAAGGTTTCTGGGCTTAGTGCTTGCAGATTTACAATTTCTTCTCCAAAACAGCATCTTAAATTGATGAATAGTTCAGCACCCAGATCTCTATAATGCTTATCTGACACACAGAAATAGCTACTTTTCCTGTAATGAAAAGAAAAAAAAAGTCTGCTTTTTCTCTTTCTTAACCTAGCAAGACTCCATGGAAATCCATGGAATTATGCCAGCCTATTGCAGTAACACCAGCAAAAAGAGAATTTCCTTACAGGATTTTCCTCACTTTTTTCAGTAAATTTGCTATATTCCCCAGCTTTAAAACCTACAGATCTTGTCTTTTTTGCAAAATTGTGGAGAGGCATTGTCCTTTATTTGAACAGTGACAGTAAAAGTGTACTTTCCATGAATTAAAATATATAATCATTATGTGGAAGCGGACTAGGCAAGAAATTATGATAGAATAGTTTGGGGAAACTTAGCATGCTAAATATGTCTCATGCAGCAGTATTTCACACCATAACATTTTTTACTCCATAAATATTTTCATCTTTCTTGCTGTAACTTGCATAAATGAATAAATGCATAGAAAACACTAATGATAAGCCCTAAATTAAATCTAAGCTCACCATCTTGACATTTACTTTTTAAAATATGTATGAGGCAATTCCTCTGATCTTTTTTTTATACACTTACAAACACATGCTTACAAGTTATTTGTGTTTCAGGCCAAGTACAGTAATGAGTTAAGGCTTCCTCCTCCTATTGCTGAAAGACTTAGTACAGTTGTGAGGGCTTGAGGATCAAGGTTTTAAATTGAACTCAAGAGATTGCCTAATCCTTCCAAATTTGGTCCTATTCAGCAGCAGGAATTGCTACATGCCCTTAACCCTCCTTCTCTATGCTTTAAATGATCATTACCTACCAAAAAGACAGAGTTTTTCTTTATTTCCAGTTATTCAAGAAAGATTCAAGACTTGATGGACTTAATGGCTGGATTAAAAGAACT